AATTCTCTGATGTCTCTTCAAGTTGCATTTCTGGGTAAACCTTTTCCCGCAGTCTGTGCAGATGTAAGGTCTCTCGCCGGTGTGAACCCTGCGGTGTGCTTTCAGGTTACTCAGTTTGGTGAAACTCCGTCCACAGATGGTACAGCAGAACTGCCTCTCACCTGTGTGAATCTGCTGGTGAGCTCTGAGGTGGCACAGATGAGAGAAGCCTTTTCCACACTGGCTGCAATTGTGCATTGTCTTTGCCGAATGGTGCCGTGTGTCCCCTTGAACCCTCATACTGACCATCTGCGGCAGACTTCTTCCTGGGTGTATGGTACTGAAACTTCTTTCACCTGTAGTGGCTCCTTCGGGACACTGACGGACATGAGAGTGTTTTGGAGCAGGAAGGGCTTTACAGATGGATTGTACCCGGTCTACTTCAACAGCGCCGTGATCCGTCACAACGGAATTGGGATGTAGACCGATTTTTGTGTTTTTCCTAACAGGTGATCTGAGATGCTGCATGGTTTGTGGTGCAAGGTTCTGAACCTTGACGGGAGGCGCAGGATAGGAAACTCGCTCCTGTATTTGAGGCCTAGTGGTGAGAGGATCTCCAGGCTGAAGATCTAACTGTGTTTTCTTAGCACTGGTTTGAGCAGAAACCACCTGAGGCCTGATCCTTTCCATATCTTCCCAGTCTGGTGGAAGCATCACTACAACTTCCTGTTTAACAGGCAAGTCTATGCTGCCCACTTGCGGTCTCAAACCCGGAGACTCTGAAGATACTGATGTCCTGGCTGGTTCTGGCTGTGAAACAGGTGACCATGCTAAAGGGTCTGTTTTAGGGTCAAACCATTTTGGGAGGTTTCTGTGTCTGACCTCATCCTCATCCACAGGTCTTTCAGTGCAAGATCTGCCACCTGGTTTGTGGTCAGAATCTGTATTGCGGAGTCCATTGGTCTCTTCAACCCTGCCCGGAGGATCTTTTTGTTTGTGTATTTGAGGATGTATCACTAGACGAGCTTGCGGGTCTCTAGCCTCTGTTGCTTCCTCTTTCACTTCTCCTCCAGGTTTAGGTTGACACACTTGATCAACCTGTCATGCACAAAGCACGTGTGCATTAGAAACTTCCTACATACTAAAGCTAAAATTATACTAACATATTTATAACATAACATCTCAGCAAACTACAATGGCCTAGTATATGGCTTAAGTATTTGGACATCTAAGCTAAGTTTAAAATGTCTGAATTTTATTGCATACATTTATCAAAATGAACTGTAATTTTGTATGATATCAGTTCCCCTCAAGTTCACTAATGCCCTTTGGCACCCAAAAAATATCCAAATGCTTATTGTCTTCTGGGTCACTGGATATTACCAGTAAAACAATACCATACACACATTTTGTTTAGTTTCTGGAGCTGCTGAAGGCTTTTCATGATTTGCGCTTCCCTTGGGACTGCACCTCCAGCTATTGTCAGAGGCATTTTCCTGCTTTACAACAAGTGGGTGGTTCAAACCTTTGAAGAAGAAGAAGAAGAAGAATAGCATTCAGTGCCCAATAAATTGTTGGACTTAACCAATGCTACTAATTTGACTGAATATAATAATTTCATGATGATGTAATGTGAAACATGAGTCAATGATGTCGAGACACTCCAAATTGAGATCTGAATATATTAAATCATTCAAATATATATTCAAAATACAATTAACACAAAAACATGGCTAGAATACACCTGTTCTATGATTTCGTTTCAGTATTTTTCCTCATAAATATAGGAAATAGGCCTATAATACCTTGAAAAAATTATAGAAAATTATGACAAGGAAATAACTTTATTTTAAATTGCCATTTGTAGGTTTCTTAAAACCCTGCTTTAGATCAGGCTCAGCAAACTTCCGAGGGGGCTGCAAGATTACTTAAAAGTATTTGCATTCATAAATTATTAATATATTGAAATAATATATAGCTCTATAAAATCATTATGTAAACTGACATCATAGTTTCCCCTTCATTACTGTAATGGGGGCCTTAAAGTTAAAAACGTTGAGAACCACTGCTTTAGATCCTCGTGAAGTTCATTAAGTTCTTATAAACTATGACAAATATAATACACTGAATGTTCAGAAACCTTTGCTGAAAATGATGACAGGGACATTACTTCTGTACTTTTTAAACCATTTGACATTTGTTGGTTCATTAAATTATTATTGAAAATGGCATAACCGTTTTGTATAAATGTACGAAACTATAGCCAACATACTGCACGTTGTTATTTGTCACTGACTGGCGGCGACGGTCCTCTTGGAAAGTCTTGTTTCTACTCACTGCTCTGTGCTTCGGGGCCTCGGTGTAGTATCCTCCTGCTGGACACCGCTGTCCGACCACAGTCCACACACCTCACCCTCTTAAACCTCTCCCGTTCTCTCAGTTTGGCCTCCGACACTATCAGCCTCCGTTTGAACACCTCCGCCTCTCGCTTGCCTCGATCCATCTGCTCCAGGAAGCTCTCCTCCACTAGCCGGGTGATCTCGTACATGCTGGTCTTGAGGACAGTTTCCATGACCGCAGACAGCCGAGTCTGGAAGGAGAGGACCAGCGTGTCCGTCATCCTGTGTCCGATCTACTCGAGCTCGCTCTTATCAAGATAAACGGCTTGCTGAATGATCATGACATTTAATGACCACCCATGTTGATTTCTACCTCAAGTATTTTATTTTCTATTGAGTACTCATTTCACGCACGAGTATTTTGGGAACTTAATTTCACGGTAAATGTTGCACTTCACACTTTCACGGCCAGTCAATCAAACCCCGATGATAAAATCCTCACAGTGTTAGTTAGCATCGAGCTCATTACATCTGCCTGACAGCATGAAGCGCGAGCAGAAATTGATGTCCTTTAGGCGCGAGCAGCTGTCGCATAATGTCCACACGACTGTAGTACATGCTACCTAGTGTATTTTGTGAATGTGTGAATTTGACTAATGAACGAAGAGCTCAGCAGACGGACAATGATGTTGTTGTGGGTGACGTCACGGGTTGTACGGCGGCCTTGTTGGACAGAACGGTTTTTACCACTGATCTATAATAGAGATATATAGCCATATATAGATCAGTGGGTTTTACCCGCTTTGTTATAGAATAAACTAATATAATTTTCTAAACAAAAACCACATTACTTTCACTTAAATGACTATTTTTCAGAATTTAGAAGACAGCAACACAGCAAGTGAAAAACAAGTGCCAAACTAAAATTATAAAAGCATTTTGTTACTTAAACGTTAACTGAAAAATATTAACTATTAAAAAATTCAACGTAGGCCTATATTATTGTTTAACTTTATATACTAAAAGAACTAAAACTGAAATAAATATTGTTAAAAACTAGACATTAAAAATAGCCTAAAAACGGACAAAAACAACAAAACCTCAAATTAAAACGAAAAATATAAAAACTAATTCAAAAATATGATTAAAAACTATAATAGAATCTCTTTGATATTAAAATTGACACTGTTATAATCACAGTCAGTGGTGATGTATGTGTGAAAGGTACTAAAATTGTACAGTAGTATTAAAGGGTTAGTTCACCCAAAAACGAAAATTGGCCCATGCTTTACTCACCCTCAAGGCATCTTGGTGTATATGACTTTTTTTCTTTCAGACAAATCCATTCGGAGTTATATTAAAAATTGTCCTGGCTCTTCCAAGCTTTATAATGGCAGTGGGTGGGTGTTTTTTTTGGGCAGCCCAAAAGAAGCCCAATAAAGCGCATCCATCCATAATAAAACGTGCCTCACATGGATCCAGGGGGTGAATACAGGCCTCCTATAGCGAATCGATGCGGTTTTCCTTTGGTAAATTAAGGAAACTTTGCTTCCTTTGCTCCTGTAAACAAACTCGAAAGACTAGCATATTCTCACAAGCACACGCTCTAGGCAAACGTCCTACGTCATCCACCGGAACGGCTTGCACGTATGACAGTTAGCTGAAGTTAGAGAAAAGTGTTTATAATACGTTTTAAATATGGATATTTTCCTTACAAAAACACATCGATTCACTACAGGATGCCCTTATTCATTAATTTAGCATTACTCAAGTATTTTATAGGTTTTATAACACAGGACCGTTAAATGCTTGATTCTGATTGGTTGACAGACATTCTAAGGGGTGTAATTATTTTCAGTAAACACACAGCTATGAAGTTGCTAGTTCCAAGTCTGTCAACTGCGTTATAATTTCTCTACACATCGTGACCACATTAGCACCTTGTATGTGCATTACTTTTTTATCATTTTTCTATAATTCAGTTGCCAGTTGTGAATTATTCCTTACATGACTTCTGATAATCCAATAATGAAAATAAGCAATAAGCATTTGGAATAAACAACTGGAGGATTTAATCAACCAACAACCAGATGAATTTTTAAAATGACATTTGACTATGTATCGCTGGAGAACTGAAAATAGACTGATACTGCGTGATGTGACACACATTGCATATATGAGCAAATATATTTGGTAGGTTTATTCAAATAAACCGAAATAAATAATTTTTTTTTTCAAAATGAATGTGATAGACAATAAGGCTCTAAAAGGCATAAAAGTGACAATCTCTGACCACTCTACATCACAAGTAAACAATATCCAAACTTTTAAGTGATGCAAAGTTGGCCACATTATCCATAGCACAACTTATAGGCATAGTTCACCCAAAAATGAAAATTCTGTCATCATTTACTCTTGAACCTGTTTTACTTCATTTCTTCTGCTAAACACAAAAGAAGACATTCTGAAGAATGTTGGAAACCAAACAGATTATACAGACCAAAAAAAAAAAAACAGATACATTTCTGAAAAAAAATTTTCCTTTATGTTCCACAGAAGAATGACATACAGGACTTAAACTACCTAAGGGAAAGTAAATCATGAATATTAATTTTTGGATGAACTATCCCTTTCAGAAAAACAAAATTTAAATGATACAGAAGACATAACTATAATGGGAGCTTCTACAGCAACAATGTTATGATTTATTATGGAAAACACCTGGATTTATGGCCCTCCAACAATTTGTGATTTATGACCTTCTAGCAGTTTAAGTCAAAACAACTCTGAAAGGTTGTTTGGTGAATTTTTTTTCTTATGGATTGTCCTGGTCAGCACTATGTTTGCGCTGATGTGACCTGAGATGATCCAGTCGTTTGAAGCTCAGTCCACAGATACCGCAGCAGTACGGTCTTTCTCCTGTATGGGTACGTTGATGGACTTTCAAGATGTCGGCCCGGGTAAAGCTCTTACTGCACATAGTGCACTTGTGTGGTTTCTCCTGTGTGTGAATACGCTGATGCAGCTTGAGATTCCACAGTCGGCAGAATTTGTTCCCACACAGCGTACAGGTATAGGGCTTGTCTACAGTCTGACTGCATCGGTGCCTTCGCAGGTCACTGAAGGACGAATATCCTTTCCCACAGTGGCTGCACAAGTGGAGACCGTCCCGCTGGTGGACACGCTGGTGCACTTTAAGGTTGCAGGCCTGAGTGAACTTCTTACCGCACTGGTTACATGTGTAAGCAGCACTTGACCCGACTCGGTGGGGAACTGGGAAGGCTTTTGCAGAAGCCCTGCTGTCTCCTAATGCTTGTCCAACATTAGGTTTCAGAGAGTGATTCAATGCATGTCCCTTATAAACTGCATCACTAGCTGTGTCCCCAACATACAGTGAGCGTCCTCTATGTCCAGTACCTCCTGCAACCCCACTTCGAATTTCTGTGAAGGAATTTATGTTTTGCAAGTGGCCATCTGCATTAATAAATAAACAGTGCATGTCTCTATCCACGTCTTCTGTCTCTGGGCTGACGTGCACAGGTAAAGATTCTCTGTTTCCTCTCTTACTCTTAATGGAAGGGCTGTGACGTCTCCCACCTTCTTGGTCCAGGTCGTTTTGATCAAGCCCAACTGCAACCGACACTGAATTACCCAACATGTCTTCAGTTCTTTCTCCGAGACCGTCAAGGTCTCCCATGTCCAGTTCATGCACACTGTAGCTTGCTAGCTCTTCTGCATCATAAAGTGTTCGGTACGTCAGGCCCTGGACGTCTGCAATATCTGCATAAGCTTCATTGTCAGCGGTCTGATCAAGCCCAGAGCTCCATTCTTCCTGAATCTGCTGCAGCTCCTGCTCACTGTAACTGTGAGCTGAGAAATCTGACGTCTCAGCTCCTGGAAAACCAAACATGGAGAAAAATCTTCAAACACAGTCTAATGTGAGAGGGTTAAAGCAGTAATCAGATGTTTAAAAAAAATAAAATAAATCACACCTTCAGTATCCAACGTCCACCCATCCTGAAGCTCTTTATTGACATAAAGGGTCTCCTCTTTTAATACACAGTTCAGTTTCCTGACCTCTGTGCTTGCAGACTACAGAGAGCACAATGTGACAGAATGCACAAAGAATGTTAAAATATTCTGTATTGTGATGAAACAGATTATCAAAAAAGGAAAACTGTAGGACGGGGACTTGGTTCTATATCGGTTGTTCATTGGATGGAGCGTCCAGTTGATTTTAAGAAAGGGGCAGAGTTTAAGCAGGTTAAATGATTAGAGAAGTCATGCATACGTCATCAGAAAGAATACCAAGTTTTAAAAAATGAAACATACTGCACGCACAAATGAACTGTTCACATTAAGATCAATAACAAGCATTTAGAAAATAATGCCTTATCTTAACAGCATTATTTTTCAGGTTTCAGACACAGCTTTTGAGAAATGCTGCAGTACGAACAAGGTTTGAGGTGATCGAAAAGGTGGTTTATTCAGTAGGCTTCTCACCTCTGCTGTATTACTGGTGCTGGTTTGGTCTTCTAATCTCTCTTTTCCCAAAAGTGTGTCAGACTCCAACTCACAGCTTCCCCAGTTCCCATCCGGAACTTTCTCCTGTTTGAGGCCGCGTTCCTTTTCTACATGTGGTCAAGGGTGAATGCAACTGTGAGGGCATTGATTACACAGTCCTTTAATGGTCTTTAAAGGGATGGAAGGAAAAAGTAATATATCTGGAATGACATGGGGGTCTTTATTCCTTGTTTATGTTATGTTGCAGGTTTGGATTTTTGCATTGTCAGAAATATTGGTTAACCTATGATTTTTTTTTTTTTGACATTTTGTGACTTTTCCTCATTTAGGGTCACGAACATGCCTGCAAAGTGTTGATGTGTTGTGCTTGCAAAATGCTACTACAGTTATGATGTTTGTGGGTCAATTAAAAGCAGCTGCACAGACCTGAAACGACAAATGTTTTTATGTATTTTGTTATGGCAGTTTTTCAGCCAGCCTCAGGGTATTTACATGAATATTTATGCATTGTCATTACGCATTTATCTGACATTTTTATCATTTCTTACATGTTTGTTCAGTTCACTGGGAATCTCATGATTGTTACTAGCACCATGCTGAACATGCTCTACTTGTTTAAAAATTTTATAAATAAATAAATAAAATAATTTAGAGTACCGTTTATAATATTCATAATCTGTGAACAAATGTATAATGTTGTTAAATACAGATTAAAAACAACATATTTTCTTGTTTTATTTAATTTTGTATTGTGTATGTTAAAGGTGTGCTATTTTTACCAGATTTTTTTTCAGAGTGATTTTTGTTGAATTGTTCTGAATCCTGACCTCCACTAAAACTACCAAAAACCCATTTTTATTTTTAACCTAATACAATGGTTAAGTATCCATGATGTCAGTTTGCATGGTTCACAATAAATTCCTGTTCTGATCTATAATAATTACTAGCAAAGAAATCACTACGTTTACCAATATCAAATATGGTGTTCCTATAGATTATAAAATCATTACATTTTATTTTTGTAGACCATTACAAATAGTGACAATCAAGACATTGAGCATCAGTTGAATTACGATTGTGAACAAACCTGATTGTGGTGACATTTCTTCTTTGTCCTCGTTACACACACGGGCTTTGTCACACTCTGCACACCTCAGACTCCTCACACTCGTCTCTTGATTTTTCCGTCTGGTCTCGCTCCACTGGAGCCTCTTCTTCAGAGTCTCTACCTGCTCTCGACTGCGGGACACTTCCTTCACGAAACTGTCCTCCACGAGACGGGTGATCTCAAATATGGCAGCTTTAAAAACGGTCTCCATGACCCCAGACAGCTGTGACTGAAATGAGTGTATGACTTCGGACATAATGACGAGTAAACAGATCAAAAAAAAAAAAGCCTTAAACCAACCGAGAATAGTTTAGCTACTTTCTTTGTTATATAAACAAGCTACAAAGGCCTCCAGCTCCTTGTTAGACGTTTCAAACCAGATTGTCACATATTGTTTGTGTGTTTTCGAACCACCTTTAAATGTCAAATCTGCACTACTCCATACACTTGCTAGCAAAAGCTAGCGAGGACTGTTATTGTGTTACTGTTAGTTGACGCTAACTACCGGTTATTGTTCTCTTATACGTGTCACATTTAAACAATGTAACATTAACGATACGCGGAGAATCAGCGCTGATCCCAAAACATTCTCTCGTCCTACAACAGGACTGACTGGAAGCACTTCCTGAAGCAAACATACGGCTGGAAGTTAGGGACCAATTTAAAGGGACAGTTCACCCAAAAATGAAAATAGCGTTTGCGCATTTACAGCAGTTTACTTTTACTCAAAATCATTTATTTACATATATATTTCCCCCAATTAAAAAAAAAAAATCATTTATTTACCTTCAAGTTCTGTGTGATTATTTTTTTCTGTAAATTTTATAAATAAATAAATAAAATAATTTAGAGTACCGTTTATAATATTCATAATCTGTGAACAAATGTATAATGTTGTTAAATACAGATTAAAAACAACATATTTTCTTGTTTTATTTAATTTTGTATTGTGTATGTTAAAGGTGTGCTATTTTTACCAGATTTTTTTTCAGAGTGATTTTTGTTGAATTGTTCTGAATCCTGACCTCCACTAAAACTACCAAAAACCCATTTTTATTTTTAACCTAATACAATGGTTAAGTATCCATGATGTCAGTTTGCATGGTTCACAATAAATTCCTGTTCTGATCTATAATAATTACTAGCAAAGAAATCACTACGTTTACCAATATCAAATATGGTGTTCCTATAGATTATAAAATCATTACATTTTATTTTTGTAGACCATTACAAATAGTGACAATCAAGACATTGAGCATCAGTTGAATTACGATTGTGAACAAACCTGATTGTGGTGACATTTCTTCTTTGTCCTCGTTACACACACGGGCTTTGTCACACACTGCACACCTCAGACTCCTCACACTCGTCTCTTGATTTTTCCGTCTGGTCTCGCTCCACTGGAGCCTCTTCTTCAGAGTCTCTACCTGCTCTCGACTGCGGGACACTTCCTTCACGAAACTGTCCTCCACGAGACGGGTGATCTCAAATATGGCAGCTTTAAAAACGGTCTCCATGACCCCAGACAGCTGTGACTGAAATGAGTGTATGACTTCGGACATAATGACGAGTAAACAGATCAAAAAAAAAAAAGCCTTAAACCAACCGAGAATAGTTTAGCTACTTTCTTTGTTATATAAACAAGCTACAAAGGCCTCCAGCTCCTTGTTAGACGTTTCAAACCAGATTGTCACATATTGTTTGTGTGTTTTCGAACCACCTTTAAATGTCAAATCTGCACTACTCCATACACTTGCTAGCAAAAGCTAGCGAGGACTGTTATTGTGTTACTGTTAGTTGACGCTAACTACCGGTTATTGTTCTCTTATACGTGTCACATTTAAACAATGTAACATAAACGATACGCGGAGAATCAGCGCTGATCCCAAAACATGCTCTCGTCCTACAACAGGACTGACTGGAAGCACTTCCTGAAGCAAACATACGGCTGGAAGTTAGGGACCAATTTAAAGGGACAGTTCACCCAAAAATGAAAATAGCGTTTGCGCATTTACAGCAGTTTACTTTACTCAAAATCATTTATTTACATATATATTTCCCCCAATTAAAAAAAAAAAAATCATTTATTTACCTTCAAGTTCTGTGTGATTATTTTTTTCTGTGGGACAGAAAAGTAGACTGGGCAGAATGACAGCCCCAGTCACTATCCATACAATGGACCCTTTCCACAAGACTGTGATGACGCGTTTAGCGGTCATCAGCATCGTAAATCCTCGAAAGTTTTTTTAAATGTATGTACATGTATAACACTATTCTTTGTATTATATCACCTTTGCATCAAATTACAAAACAACAGTCATATGATGCTGCTAAAAAGAACATTATTTTGTGTATTTGGTGTAATGAAATGTGTTTATGCGGGTTAAGGTTCAAAAAACACATTATTTTCCACATACTGTACATTATTGTTTCTCCTCTATGCCCCGCCTTTCTGAAACGCATCCATTTTTTACAAAGCTCATCGGTCTGAAAAAGCGAGGTGTGCTCTGATTGGCCAGCTATCCAGTGCGTTGTGATTGGCCGAATTCCTCAAGCGTGTGACGGAAATGTTACGATCCTTACCATATTGTGATGCCTGCGGCAACCACATGTGACGACATGTGAAAGAAACAAAACCTTGAGAACCACTGCTCTATAGGCCTGCTATTAGAAAGGATGCAATTTGCATGTACTTCCCTTTTCTAATGTAGGCATTCTATAACTACAGTAACGTAATCAGTTTTGTTATTTATGAAACCATATAACATAAAAGAAGTTATATGGTGTCAAATCTGCCAAAATCCATTTGTGAAACTTACATATCAAGTAGTTGACTTCTCAGTTATTGATAGCATATGAAATATTAAAAGCAATGTGCTAAAAGTGTCATACACTCTTAAAAATAAAGGTGCTTCAAAAGGTTCTTCAAGCGATGCCATAGAAGAACCATTTTTGGTTCCACAAAGAACCATTCAGTCAAAGGTTCTTTAAAGAACCATCTCTTTCTTACCTTTTTGTAATCTGAAGAACCTTATTTCGCCACAAAGAACCTTTTGTGAAACAGAAAGGTTCTTTAGATGTTAAAGGTTCTTTATGGAACCATTTAGACTAAAAGGTTATTCTATGGCATCGTGAAGCACCTTTATTTTTAAGAGTGTAGTGCCTGTTTTATAGCCTATAATTTGTCAAATGTTATTCTTAATTTGTAAAAAAAAAAAAAAATGCATGTAGTTGAAAGTTTGTATTGATATTTTTGAACTTGAGCATTATCAATTTAGGCAATCTTAGGCCTTTTTTGGAAATCAGCAGAATTTTGTCAAGATGCAGGACTGTGTAATGCATATATAGCCTAATATAAAATATATTTTGATTTCTACATTCTTGATCCATCAAAACCACTTAAGATATAGATGCTGGACTTTGAAAAAATACAAATAATCAATCAAAAGTCTCTGCCTTATCAAGACATCTACATGTATACATTGTTTAGAGCTTCAGAGCGTTTCAGTGTCATATTAAAAGCAGACCGCAAACTATCTTTACTGCAGTCTATAAATACAACTTTTTAACATTCAGTGCGGAAGTATACCGCCCTCCTCTGGACGCGTGACGCGTCATTGTGATTCTCGTTGACTATGTGAAAGGGATCATAACGTCTTCTCCATAAAATTAACTTAAAACCATGCCGGATGCGAGCGCGGACGATTATGACGGGTTTCAGACCCAGTTCACGCACATCATGGAAACAATTTTACAGACTGCTGTCAGGGACGCGACAAAACTTTATGATGGCACTCTGCAGCGCTTGAAAGCGGAATTGCTGCAGCTGAGACAAGAGAAAGTCAACACGAAGACAGGTGATACATCCATCCAGAGCAAGAGATTCTCTGAAGCCGGGAGCCAGAGGACTGGAAACGTCTCTAAACATCGTGATATTGGCGTGCAGTGTGGTAGGTTTTTTCTTACAACAGTGTGTTCCTGGGTTATGGCGTGCATTAAACACTTCCTGGAAACGACTTTTAACGGCTTAGAGTAGACAAAGTCAGATGGTAAATAGGGGAGCGCGGGGCACAATGTAACGCGGGGTAAGTTGTAACACACGTGGTTTGAATATTTCCACACATGCTAGCATAACAAAATTTACAGTATTTATTAGTTACCATATCAACATTATATAGAAAACAAACGTGCGCCAAAATTCAAAAATCTTTTGAAGATATCGCTGAACATTTATTTTACCATAGTAAAATTGTTTTTATTATTCATTTAAAATGAGACAAATCTGCTATTATTTTAATCTCCAATCTGTTATTTATCAGTTCAGATCGTTTTTTAATGCTTTAATAACTAGCAGAATTTTAAATTCCAGTTGCGCAGATGGGGCACGTTGTAACACTGTTATAATATGCTATTCTTTTACATTAGCGATGTAATTTACACTATTTACTTTAATGAATTTTAATGAGAAACAGGTGAATAAAGACTGACAGTCAATGTTTAGAAATTATTATTTCAAGTTGCTCGTTTATGTGGGCCGTCCAAGCATGGTTGCAATGTGTTCATTGTCAAACTCCAAAATCTGATTATTTTTCATTCTTAAAAAACGCCATTATTTTATTTGAAACAAATAATTATTTTATTTTATTAACAAAATATTTTAATTTGTCTTGTATATATATTTTTTTCATTCGATCAGATAACATTTTAAGCTGTCAAATGGTCATGTTACAACATGCCCCTCAGATGTTACAATGTACCCCACCTACAGGGCATGTTGTCACATTTCACTTCCATTTTTTTTTAGGGTAAATAAAGAAAAACGTATACACTGTAATTATGAAACAAAGTTACATATTTGTACTAGACAAGTGTAAAATTACTGTGGATAAAAAATTATATTCTGAACCCCATGTGGATTTACACAAACTGAGAAAGTCAAAAAGTGTTACTTTGTGCCCCGCTCTCCCCTACATAAAAATCACTTCTATGGCGTTTTTCTCTGACCATTCAGCTATGGAATTTTTTTTTTTTACAAATATATTTAACATATGTATATTTATACCAATTTTATCTCATAATCTGTCATTTGTAATGTATACCCGCCTAAAAACATAAGACGTTTAGTCCGGTTAGGCTTTTTTCAACAGGGTTATTTACAGGTTTTTTTTTTGTTTTTTTGTCAGAAAAGCCCACTTTGGTTGACCGGGGATGCAGCCCTGTTCAGTTTATAGGACAACGTCTTAATGTGGGAGACATAACTAGTGATAAACTCACAGATCTATGTGCCAGTGAGGATGGGAACAGACAGCTTGCATTGCTCCTCATCAAAAAAGAGGTAAGAAATGACGGGTCATATGATAGAAGAGTACGTGTTTACTCTTCCCCTCCCTCACCCTTTTTTGTTTTGCATATCAATTATGTGGTGAGAAACAGCAGAGTTCACAGACTGATGTCATATTTCCTCTCTGTAAGGGTTTTCTATATTTAGAGGCTTGATTGAAAATGCTATGTGAGGTCAATTAGGATTGAGTTTAAATCTTATGTTTATAGTTGATCTTTCTGGAGTGGATAGTATTTTAATGCTATAGCCTTTTTATACATTATTATTTTATGTTCTGTGTCTTCAGCCTCAAGAGACTGAATGCAACAGCTATGCACCAGGATACTTTCTACTAAAGCAAGAGGGTGCTGAGCCCATACTGGTGCGCAGAGAGCCAAATAAGGACACCGTGGAAAGGGGTACAAGAGTCATTCACAAATTCAACTGAACAATGAGGGGAAAAATTCTCATATATGTCATATCTTATATGTAGTTCTTTCACAAGTCCACAATGGAGACTCAACTGCTTGGTGTAATATGCATTTACTAATTTAGCAGCAACTGATAGAATTAAATAAAATATAGGTTATTCTATAACCATTTTTAAAAGTTGAACTTTTTACACTCGAATGTTTTTTTTTTTTTAGTCTTCCATTTACATATATTTATCATGTAAGAGCCAATCCTTTTCAAATAAAAAATATGCATAAATATTTACACGGTTGTATTTCACAGTTAGGAAAATACAAAAATTAAAAGAAAATAGTGCAGATGAAATTACCCCATCCCGTAGTGTGTGCACCACTCAGATACTCAACTGATCTATCTGTTGAGGACTCAATTTGCAACTTTTTATATATACATTTTGTCTTCCTTATGTTCCTTTCTTGCATCTTCACCTCTCTATTCACAGTTGTGATCCCATCAGCGTTGCAAACAATAGCCAGACCCAATAACAACCATAGAGGAAAGTCACCACCACCACCAGTGATTCCTTCCTCTTGTAGTCGCAGAGTGGATTCCAGTGGTCAAAAACCCAATCAGACTATACAACCCAGCCGAGGAACATCTGAAAGAACATTGGAAACCACTGAAGGCTTGTCTTCCCAAAACAAAAGACAGAATGCCAGTGCACCAGCACAGACATCAACTTCTTCAGTGCTTCCCAATTCAACCCAGACTCCTGCTTCCAATGTTAACTTGTCTGTGCCAATGATTGAGCTGTCTGGCGCTCCATCAATACCTCAAACCAAGCCTACAGCTTCATTAGTTCATCGTCGACCAAACCCAAATCCTCAAACATCAAACCAGACAGTAGTCCCTCAGAAAGAGGGGTCAAATATCTGTCAAAACGCATACCTAACTGCTGTTCCACCAAGCCAAGTCTTAGTAACAGAGCCTTATTCCTCCAAACAGCGAGCTCAGGCATTGGTTTCACATACTGAGAAAACTCTTTCAACCATTGCATCGCTAAACCAGGCCACTGAGCCATTAACCCAATGTTCCTCTCAACTTACACAACCTCCATTCTTTCCACCACAATCCAGCAAAACACCAGCCCAAGAGATGACTCCACAAGTACACACTGTCATGCCATCAGGACTCG